CAAGAAACTGTTGTGTCACTCTCACGGTTTTTTCAGTACTTATCAATTATTTGGGAGAATGAGGAGAACACAATAACACAATAAATAGTAGATATAAAAAAACTTTGACTATAAAAACACAGAAACCCAACTATAAACTAGAAGGTCAGTGTTTGCACAGCACAACCTGCAGCTGAACCCAGTGCCACCTAATAACTTTAATTCTACTATGAACACCTGGCATATATTTTGAAGGTTGTTGCTCAGTAAATGTTAAAAACAAGCCTCTACTGGTTGAATGAGTTATGGTTTCAACAAATGCAGACATTTCAGTATTCAGTATAAAACTGGAAAGAAAAAGTGTTTATGAAGTGTAGTGGGAATAAAGAATGACTCCAAATAACACGTCTGTGTCATTGTGACCCTGTTTTCTGTAAGTGTGATCACGGAACTGAAAGAGGCAACTTTTAACCCACCGTTAAACACTCGACTGAAACTATGAAGGAGAAAATAAGCGACTTTTAATGAACTGACTCCATATCAGTATACGTTTATTCATATTTAAATGTTAAATGTAGAATAGAATAGAATAGAATAGAATAGAATAGAATAGAATAGACCTTTATTGTCATTGTACATGTGCAACGAAATTATGGGTGATCCAAGCCAGCTGTGCAGGAATAAATAACAAAGAGGAGAAATACATACGATAAAGATGTATTTCTGTATGTAAGTAAATGTATGATTAGTGTAGACCCGGAAACTGTGTAAGGAAAGGAATAGCATTCAACACAATCAGAACAGAGTGCTGCACATGCAATAACTAACTGTAACAACTGTGGAGGAAGCCACATGGCAAAAAGAGATAAATGCCCAGCATATGGCAGTAATGTCATAAATGCAAAAAATGGAATCACTTCCAGAAATGCTGCAAGTCATCACAAACAAGGGGATTTAAAAAGAGATCTGTAAACAGTGTTGTGATGCAAGCGCCCAGCAGTGATGAGGAAATGTTCTTTGTGAATGGGGTCATTGTAGATTCTGTGAATCCCTGTTTTCTGTATAGGAATGACATATTCACCGCTGTGCATATTAATAGAAAACCAATAGAGCGGCACTAAATGTAATGGCATTCCAGCCGTTCTTTTTGTACAACTGAAACAAGATGGAAAACTCCTGCCATCACAGAAAACCAAACTGGAGGCATATGGAGGTAAGGAAATCAAACAGCTGGCACAGCTGGCACAGCTAAACGCTCGTGTCACTCTGGCGGCAAGGAATACCCTCTGCAATTCTTTGTAGTGGATCAAGATGTACAACCTCTACTCTAAAATTCAGATGACATTAGACTGCATCGATCAAAGAGATTTAAATAAAGCTCTGAAACGCCTGCATCACCCTATGCGTACCATAGAGGCAGTGGGCGCACAAATGCCTAACTTCACAGTCTTTTCTGTCCTGGATGTGAAATG